GAGAGAGAGAGTGTGTGTGAGTGAGTGTGTGTGTGTGTGTGTGTGTGTGTGTGTATAAGTGAACACACTTTACTGAGGATATCCAGCGAAATCCACGTTTATTACCTTATATATATATATATATATTTTTTTTTTTCTTTTACCTTTTAAAACTTTTTTTATTTATTAAGAACACAGCATACCTACAAATAAAAGGGTCTCCGTTAAAAGAAACAAATTAAATCAACAATAAATAAAGTATAAAATATTCAGAAAGAAAAAAAAGCGAGATTCATCAGTTTTTAGTAATATATATATATATACAAAAAAATTCCATCCTTAAATTAGAACATCATGAATCACGCGATACAAAAATATCACGTGACCGGCCACACTGGGCGGCGCTTACGCGGGCTGAGGATGCTGCGCTCTCATTGGCCGAGGGCGGTTTCCGCCGTGTTTAAATATCCAATCAGCGCGTAGCAGCTTCACTTGGGTGAAAGATCGCTAAGCAAGCTTCATTCCTCGCCATGGAGGACTCGCGCAGCTGACGGTTCCTGCAACCTTCTCTTCTCACGCTTTCCTTCGTACGCTCATCGATCCGTTATCAGCCGCGTCAGAGACGTGTCTCAGTCTGAGGATGAAGATCATCATCGGGCTCGGAGGGTGAGTGAGCGCGTGCTGCTCTCGTTCTGAACGAAATCACCATAGTAACTGCGTGTTTATTGCATCGTGAGCGTGTAGCGTGCAGTTAAAGGGACAGTTCACCCAAAAATGAAAATTCTGTCATGACCCTCCCTCAAGTTCTTCCGAACCCGTACGAGTTTATTTCTACAGCTGAGCACAAATTATGATATTTTAAAGGATGTTGCAAACCGAACCGGTGACGGTAGCCATTGACTTCCACTGTAACTTTCTCCATACTGTGGAAGTCGGTGGCTATGTTGAGAGAATTTAAATTTTTGGAACTGTCCCTTTAAAGTGCGGTGTTGTCTGGCATGTGTTGGCCTCTTAAGTAATACGACGCAGCATTGTGTTTCCGTGTTTCCGTCCCACAGGGTCACGAACGGTGGCAAAACGACACTGACGGACCGGCTGATCAAGAGCCTGCCGTGTGGTCCAGTGGTCCATCAGGATGACTTCTTCAAGGTCAGTATAATCCGAAAGCAGAGGTCAGAGGTTACGAGTGTAGCGGTGGGAGGGTCAGTGTTCTGGAGTGCGTCTCATTGGTGTATGTTTCAGCCCCAAGATGAGATCGAAGTTGATGAAGATGGCTTTAAGCAGTACGATGGTAAGCGGGGGTTGGTGCGTGTGTTTCTGCATGTCTGGCGATCCGCGCCGTGTCCTTGCGCTCACGTGTGCGTGTTCTCCTCCGCAGTCATCAGCGCTCTGGACATGGACGCCATGATGAGCACCATCCACGCCTGGCAGCACGACCCCGTCAAGTTCGAGCGATCCCACGGCGTCAACAACTCGCTGGACTCGGAGATGCTCCCGCGCGCTCCGGACGAAGGCGTTCACGTCCTGATCGTGGAGGGGTTTCTGCTCTACACCTACAGGTGAGCGCCGCGTGCACGCTAGTGTTGGGCGAGATGCTCCATTAGCAGTCCTATCGTTAGCCTGTGAGATCGCCGCTACACGGTATTATCATGCTGATTTATTTAATTATTCACTTAAGGTCGTTGCACACACCGAGTCGGAACATTTTTTTAATGCTTGCTGCGGATGCGAAAACACAGAAAATTAAACCTGGTCCGGATTGACGGATGGAAGTTTCGAAGGCAGTGTGTAAACGTGATGCAACGCGAGGTCATATTTATTTATTTATTTTAATGTATTTTAAACGCCTCTGATTGGCCGTTGCGTTCATAAACTCAACGGAATCGTGTGTGATTGGTTATAATGCGCAACACTGTAAAAACACAGAAAAATGAAACCAGCCGTAATGCTATCGTCTATCAGCACAACCCTAATACACGCGTGTTCGATTGACGCTTTTACTGAACACTGTTTTCTTTTGCGCAGACCGTTGATCGATGTGTTCAACCAACGATACTTTATTTCCATTCCATACGAAGAGTGCAAAAAGAGGAGGAGGTGAGTGACTCCCGCTGCGTCTGCCGGAGCGGATGAAGGTCCAGCATGCACCTGATCTCACATCTATCTGTGTTTCAGTTCAAGGAACTATTCCGTGCCGGACCCACCCGGTCTGTTCGACGGACACGTGTGGCCCATGTATGTCAAACACACTAAGATCATGGAAGACTCCGGGGTTGATGTCGGTAAGCGCTGAATCTCGTTGGAAGTCTGTGCAAAGTTCGCATTACGCACGTTATGTAATCAGATAAGTGACTAGTAAAGCTAGGCGTTAGTTTTTAATTTACAAGAAAATATAAGAGTTACTGTTTCAAATAAGTAACAGCAGTTACTTTGTTTCCATGTGTTGAGTGACAGCTCTGGTGTTGCCGTGGTGACAGAAATCAGCATTCCTCAAAATCAATAAAAACAGTCTCGGGATATGATGCAAACCTGCACTAATTAAATATGTTAAATAACACCGATGTCCTGTATTTATTTAATTCCATTTTAGTAATGCAACCATACTAATAGAGCGGCGCTGAGACTCTGCTCGTGTTTGTGTTGCAGTGCAACTAGATGGAGCCATGTCCAAGGAACAGCTGTACAACACTGTGTACGGAAGCATTCTGAACCGCATCCAGAACAATCTGCCCTGAACAAAGGTGTGCGCGTGACCTTCTGATGTCCGGTGTGTCGTTCGTTCTCCGTCGTGTTCCTGATCGTCTGCTGTCTGTGTTGCAGATCTGTTGATCGGCTTCTGGAGGGAGCAGCTTCGCATCGCCTCCTGCGTTTGCTCCGGCCCCGACAGCGTCTGCATAGCTGTTGCTTTTATATCACCTTTTATATCCTCTGTATTTATTGCTTCTCCAGCTGTCATAAGGCTGCGTCTGTATCAACATCAGGATGATGGAGAACGTTCGGAGCATGGTTGCAGCTACAAGCACAAGCAAATAAAGAGAAGCTCCTGCGACACGTTTGTTGTTGTTGTTGTTTTTGCACCCTCAGATTCCAGATTTTCAAATATGGTCCGATCCTAACAAACCATACATCAATGGAAAGATGATTTATTCAGCTTCCAGATGATGTACACATCTCAGTTTCACAAAATTGACCCTTATGTACACATATTTCATACTCCGTGAGTCATGGATCACATTCTCGGTTTACTCCACATTCGGAGGCTGAGTGTGTTTCTGTGGGGCAGCGAGAGCAGATCATATTTCTTCTCTTAAACACATCCTCTCAGACGCTCGCCACTAAATACCGTCCTGCGTCACTGCAGCTGCTGTCATCTCACGCCTCGGACGTCTTGTGTAACCTCAGGAGAACATCTCACCGCACCGGACTGTCCTTTAGGAAGATGATCTTCACACAGCAGCTTCAGGCCTGTGATCTTAAAGGGGGAGTTCACACAAAAACTAACATTTGCTGGGAATTTACTCGCCCTCGGGTTGAGATGTAGACGACTTTTGTTCTTCAGTAGAAGAGTGAAGAAGATTTCCAGCGGAATCTGTGAATCTTGGCGACTCGTTAAACACAAGTCAATGGCTACCGTCACTTTGAGAGTCAAAAACTCACATCAGGCAACACACAATTAACACCCGTGTCTCCTGACGATATATTGCGGTCTTATGAAGCGAAACGATCAGTCTGTGCAAGAAGCTAAACATCATTTACAGGGTTATTACTGTAATCCAGAGCCTCAGGCAAACGGTCCGGAGTGATGTCCGGTTCACAAACGAATCATTCTTTTGAACTGGTTCTTTTGAAGCGTCTGAATCAGATCACGGCTCGAGCAGCTCAGATCTAGTCACTCGATTAAACTCACTTTCAGACGTCTGACAGTCACCGCGACTGGAAATGAGCCGAAATATGATCCTGTGATGAATGAACTGATTCAGCTCCAGTTCCTCCAAGAGTCACTGAACTGAGGAATCGCGAGTGAACAAATGAAGGTTTTTATGGGTTCTCATGGAGTTAATGAAGACGAGTTTATTCGCTTTAGACATGTATAACATCCACTTTTCACAACATTAGTTGGTGTTTTAATAATAGAATTGTGTAAATGTTACATCATTGCCTGATTATGTAAACAAACTAGTGAACAGAACCAGTTTACTGAATCAAACTGTCCAAAAGAATCAGTTCACAGAAAAGAATCAATTTCCCCATTACCCTGAGGCTCTGGATTACAGTAATAACGCTGTAAATGATGTTCAGTTTCTTGCACAGACTGATCGTTTCGCTTCATAAGACCGCACAGTTTACTGAATCAAACTGTCCAAAAGAATCAGTTCACAGAAAAGAATCAATTTCCCCATTACCCCGATGCTCTGGATTACAGTAATAACGCTGTAAATGATGTTTAGTTTCTTGCACAGACTGATCGTTTCGCTTCATAAGACCGCAATATATCGTCAGGAGACACGGGTGTTAATTGTGTGTTGCCTGATGTGAGTTTTTGACTCTCAAAGTGACGGTAGCCATTGACTTGTGTTTAACGAGTCGCCAAGATTCACAGATTCCGCTGGAAATCTTCTTCACTCTTCTACTGAAGAACAAAAGTCGCCTACATCTCGGATGTTACACAATCGCTAGCCTCGTTTTCGTAGCGTCTGAAATGGATTCTTTGTCTGAACTCAGTGTTTTAGAAATGTGGGTTTGAGTTGTGTTTGTGATTCGGTCAGTGAGCGCTGGAACGGTCATCATGAAGCCACTGAGATGAGTGTGTCTGAAGAATGTGCTGGTCATAAACCCAAAATAGAGAGCGAAAACACCAACTCTGTTCTGACCCCAAACCCACTGACCACAATTTCACTGTATGTTTATTTGTTACAACATGCCGTGACATATTTGTAATTTCATTATATTTATTTGATATTGTTTTATTTAGTTTTTTTGTTCGTTTTAAAACAATTAGCGTAATGCATTAAATTTGAACTGATACATTTATGCTAACGCAATTAAAAATACTAGAAAATAACATGCGAGAAGTTACTATATATAAAATATACTGTAACAATAAAGATTGAACAATTCAATAAAGCAATTCAAGATGTAAGAGTAAATATATATTTAGGAGAGCGTGTTCGGTTCATTAGTAGTAAAGTTGCATTGCGCAATGCAAAAAACAAAAACAACAAATACACCAGCACTGTAATTATGCATCAGGCAACACTGTTTGCAAAAGCAGTTTGTTACTGTAACAGCTGGGCTGAATCTACCGTCACGCTACACCACTGACTAATGTAGGTGAGTTAGTAGCGTGGCTACTTTTAGTTGCAGACCCTCCAACACTGTCCCGCGGATCTCCTACATCAGGATGTGCGGCAGACGAGTAAATGAAGCCGATCTCAGTAAACCAGATGAGTGCTTCCTATGAACAGACGTTTGGCTCGTGATCAAAAAGTCTCTTTACGTTGGCGTGTCGGCGTGAAGTGCTCATCTCATCTATTTCTGTGCCCTATAATGCCTGAAATTGACCACAGCGTGGGTGTGTAAATTTGTATTTTATCCAAAACTGCTGATGTCTTTATTTAACTCACACTCACACTCTCTCACACACACACACACACACACTCACTCACACAGACACTCACAAACACACACACACACACAGACATAGACACACACACACACACAGACAGACACACACACAGACAGACACAACACACACACACACACACACACACAGACACTCACAAACACACACACACAGAGACACACACACACACACACACACACACACACAGAGACACACACTACTCTGCGTTACGGTAAGTACTAGTTTGAAGTAGCTTGGAAAAGTGTGATTTTAGTCACATTTAGATACTATTATTGTCTTATTAGCATTTTGAATTATTGTAATTTTAAAGTTTTAGTAAATTTGTTATGTGTTTTTGTCATTTTTGTTAGTTTTTTAAAAATATATCTATAATTTGAATTAATTTATACTTCAGTTTTAGTTATTTTAGCTGTAGTCAAGGTAAACAAAATTTTTATTAGGTAAATAAAAAAAAAAATTTTCAAGTATTTTTTTTTATTTAATGTTCAATTTATTCAGAGTAATTTTAGTTTTTTTTTTTTTTTTTTTTCTTTGTAGTTAACTATAATAATCCTGCCTTGGAATACCAAGTAAATATCATGATGCTTGAATATAATAATCTTAATAAAGCGGAGAGTTCCGGTGCTTGACTCTGATTGGCTGAGCCGCGTTCGAAGCTGTTGTGAATGACGCTACAAAGTAACACACACCTTTGTTTACGTTTGTCTGTTGCTCGGCAACCACTTTGTAGCAACCACAACTGTTTCTGAGGAGCTACATTGTTTGGTGGAAGAATACTGTGTTTATTAATATCATTACACTTTATTTGCTCTGTTTTATTTTGTGAAACCTTACTACGTATATGGAATAACCGTTTTATAAAAGCAGTAACCCCCGTGAAGTCCGCGTCGTGCCTAATAACGCCCCTTAGCTGTTATAAATTCACTGTAAACCACGGCTTCACGGGGATTACTGCTTTATTCTGTGACATTATAGCGCTCAAACACTAGGTCATGGGTTCGATTCCCAGGTTATGCATGAGCTGATCAAATGTTTGCCTTCAATGCAAGTTGCTTTGCTTAGAAACATCTGCCAAATGCACACAGCTATGACTAAAACAGCTAAACGTCCAGGTCTTGGCTTTGTTTTCCTGATGTAATGACTGAAGTAGTTTGACCAATAGCGTGCAGGCATCGCACACAATCAACCAATCGCGGCGTACGAGGCGGCATCAGTGCAATGCAAATATGCGAGGTCACAGGTCAGCCTGGTCTTGTAGAGGTCAGAGGTCGTTGCTGTAGTGACCGTGATGTTTTGGTTGTAGTTCAGCAGCGCTTTTCTTTCAGGCAGCAGATGTTTCTTTGGTCGAGCAGTCTATATTTGGGTTTGGTGTAATACACAAACTCCTGCTGTTCCAGCCAGTTCCAGAGCAATTACCCCCGTTATATAACGGCAGCGAACCACAGCGTCTCACGCCAGCCTGACCTGCTGCCCGCAGCTATGAGAGCAGACAGACCTCCACATGTGCTCAGCGTCTGTGGCCTTGTTTTTCTCCTTCAGGCCCAAGCTGCTACATCTAGACGCCCGGAAACCAGGCCTGTCTGTCTGTGTCTGTGCATTAACACACGCCTGCGCTTACCAAAACACAGTTATACCGCGGTACCTGCCACATGACACACAGGGCCAATCCCATGATGCTCTGCTGCCCCCTAGAGGTCAGAGCTCAAACTGAAGCAGTGCAGGCCTGTGAATGATTACATTTTTCTTGTACAAAATAATAAAATACTTGCTATGTTTTTCATGACTGTAAAGTTTTGGATTAATGCGTTATGTACTCTGCCTTTATTATTTTTGTATGATGTTGTATTTTTTGTCCTAATATAAAAAAGCACTCAAAATAAATCCCATTAATATGCTGAATAAGTTCATAAGCTTCCAATATTAATGTTTTATCACTAACACTTTACAATAAGGAGGACTCATTAACACGAACTAACATCAAGCAATGCATTATTTACAGTATTTATTCATCTTTGTTAATGTTAGCTAATAAAATGCATTTGTTGAGGTTAATGTTAGTTTTTTTTTTAAGTTGTTTTTGCAAATAAAGTCTTCAAATATAACTTAATTTTAATGGTATGTTGAAACTAACATTCACTAAGATTAATAAATGCTGATGGAGTATTGTTTAATGCAAATTAATATGAACTGATATTAACAAATGAATATTTACTGTAAAGTGTTACTGTTTTATCACATTTGTTTATATTAAAAGAGCTTCATATAAAGTAATAAACACAAAAATGTAATAAAGTGTAGTGGAAGTCATTAAGAGTTTTAGCAGATTTTCTTTCACATGTAGAGAATATGATGACACTAACACCTTCATTAGAGTTTTACTAATTTATTATTATTATTATTATTATTATTAATCTGGACAGAAATGCATGTGATGATGATGATGATGATGAAGAAGAAGAGTCAAACATGAGAAACATCTTTATCAGGTTTAATCCTGAAATCAGCAGTGTCTCACAGACGTCAGGGGTGGAGCAGTGTCTCTGAGGGGCGGAGTCTTGGGGCAGTGGGCGGGGCCGTGCGTCTGAGAGGTGGAGTCTCGGGGCAGTGGGCGGGGCCGTGCGTCTGAGAGGTGGAGTCTTGGGGCAGTGGGCGGGGCTGTGTCTATGAGGGGGTGGAGTCTCAGTCAGTGGGCGGAGATGTGTCTATGAGGGGTGGAGTCTCAGGGCAGTGGCGTCTGAACGCGCTCAGTGCGGCTCGGCGTCGCTGCGTTTGGCGGGTTTGGCGACGAGACGTCTCTCTCGCTCCAGCTCTCTCTCTCTCTGCTGCTCGCGCTCCAGATCCTCCTTCTGCTTGTGCTGCTGCAGCTTCAGCGCTCGCTTCTACACAAACACCAACATACACTCACCATCACTGCAGTGAATGGGTGCCGTCAGAATGAGAGTCCAAACAGCTGATAAAAACATCTCAGTAATCCACAGCACTCCAGTCCATCAGTGAACATCTGGAGAAGACAAAAGCTGAAACTAATCCAGCATTAAGACGCTTTTA